TGTTCGAAACGTACAATACCGCACAAACTTCAAAATTAAGCGCGGCGCAAGTCACCATACAGCGCAGTCGCATGCGCGCCAATCAGCACTAAAGCAAGCAATCGTCAGATGCGCAAAGCAAAGAACCAACCGGTTGGCGTCGTGAAACGCAAGAGCAGCCAATTACAAAAACCCACATGCGTCTACCGAATGTCAAGCGGCGATGATTCGCGGAAGGTCAGCAGAGCCTTCAAAAAGGTTCAAAAATTCAGCAAGTCACTAAACCGTTAACATAGAAAGTTCGAGAACTGGGCGACTATATAAGCCGCAACGATCACTGTCCGCGAGTTCATTATTCTAGCTCTTGATACAAGTCAAGGATTAATCGAAGCTCGGTTGCTCGCCGCTAATTATTTAATCGAAGCCAGGTTGCTTGCCGCTAATTCCTTTTTTTTTCTCACGGTCGCTTGCCGTCGTGATCTCAACTCTTGATCTCTTGTTGAGTAACGTGTATATATTGTAAATATCTGAATAATAAAGTTATCGTTAGACAAACCATTTATTTCAATTTCAAAAATCGTTAAAAGTGCGCGTTGTGCCGGATCTTACCCAAACATTTTTGGTCCTTCGAGCCGGATATTCCTTATCAGGAGGATTACCAGTGTCCGTGCAAACCGACGGTGATTACCTTCTCGAGCGAGAAGTGCACCTGAAAATTCAACATGGAGGTTTTGATACTGGCGCAACATGAAGTATATCAGCGAATTGGACGCACGTACGAAAATCTGAAGAAGTCAGGAATAGAAAAGATAGAACTAGGCCGAGTCCAGTCAGCACTACAGCAGCTGGACAAGAAGTGGGCTCTAATCGAAGAGCAGCACGCCAGCTTGCGCAATGAGCACTGGGTCGATTTAAAAAAACACGAATATTATACTACGGATTTTATATCTACAGCTGAAGGAACTTACCTCGTGCAAAGAGGCAAACTTCTAGAACTGGAGCGAGCTCTCAAGCCAAGGGTCGAAGAAACCAAGCAAGCGGTCGAAACATCTACAACTGTGGCACGCCGGGCCGCGCTGCCAAAAATACGGTTGCCACAATTCTCTGGGAAGTATGAAGATTGGCCAGCTTTCCGAGACCATTTTATTTCAACAATAGATAGCGATGATCTTCTGCCCCCGATCGAAAAGCTGCACTATCTACGCTCATGCGTACAAGGAGAAGCAGCCAGCATGATTCGCAATTTACCTGCAACAGAGGCGAGTTATAAGAAGGCTTGGAAAGAGTTATCTGATTTTTTCGAAAATACACAGCTACTAGTTCGTTCCTACATTAGCAAGTTCTTGTCTCTGCACAAGATGAAAAATGAAGATGCCGTAGACCTAAAGAAAATCTTCCATAGCATAGTGAACACCTACGACTCACTGGAAAACATTGGACGTCCGGTGTCATGTAGTGAAGATTTATTCGTGCATTTGATCGTAGATCTTCTCGGCCCTCGTACAAGAGATTTGTGGGACGAGCACATCAGTGTCAGCTCAGACCCTCCGAGTTATGAAACTCTTAAAACCTTTTTGCAACGTCGCTTGCAAACGCTGGATGGACGCTGGGCTACAAAGGTGGCAAAAGCGGATACAGCAGCTACCAAGTCGACCAATAAGACGACTAAAAGCCACACGGTTCAGAAAAAAGAAGCCATCCAGAAAGGATCCAAGGAGCGCTGCACATGCTGCAAAAAGGACCACTATTTGATGTTCTGTGAAAGCTTTAAAGGCAAATCTGCAGCCGAAAAACGAACGCACGTAAGTGAGAACAATCTGTGCTTTAATTGTCTAGGAAAACACAAGGTCAAGGAGTGCCTATCAAAAAAGTCATGCACAGTGTGCAATGAACGTCATCACACGCTGCTGCACGACACGAGTCGAGAAAACCGGGATGAGAGCTCCGAGGCTATCACGTCGCACGTGGCACGACACCGAGTTGAAAAGAGAATTTCGATTTTGCTAGCAACTGCTCGCGTACGCGTCGCGGATCGTTTCGGCTTACTACACAATGCTCGCGCTCTGGTTGATCAAGGCTCGGAGACCTCCTTTGTATCAGAAGCGCTAGTACAGAGACTGAAGTTACCAAGACGACATGCGTCCGTATCCGTCATAGGAGTAGGCGGAAAGCAAACCGGAGTTTCAAAGGGGCGAGTGACTTGCAAGCTCCTGCCACACTTCAGCAATTTCGAACNCACCGTTGACGCGCTCGTGCTTCCGCGTCTCAGCGCGTACACAGGGGGCTCGGACGTCATCTCGCAGCAGTGGCAACATCTCAAGAATCTCGAATTAGCTGACCCCAATTTCCTAGCAAACGATACGGTGGACATTCTTCTCGGAGCTGATGTATTCGGTGCAATCGTAAAAGCAGGTCTGCAGAAAGGAGCACCCGATGAACCTATCNCGCAACAAACTGTCTTAGGTTGGATCATCTCCGGAAATGTCACCTCATCCTCGAGAGTTTCCTCTAACAAATTGTGCGCTCACCAGTGTATAAAGGCGGAAGCCTTAACGGAGTTGGTCAGGAGATTTTGGGAGCAAGAAGAACTGCCTCAAGCTTCCTCGAT